AGGGGGAGGAGGAGGAAGGGGAGGAGGGGGAGGAGGAGGGGAGGAGGGAGAAGGGGAGGAGGAGGAGGGGGAGGAGGAAGGGGAGGAGGAGGGGGAGGAGGAGGGGGAGGAGGGAGAAGGGGAGGAGGAGGGGGGAGGAGGAGGAGGAGGGGGAGGGGGGGGGGGGGGAGGAGGAGGGGGAGGAGGGGAGGAGGAGGAGGAGGAAGGGAGGAGGAGGAGGAAGGGGAGGAGGAGGAAGGGGAGGAGGAGGGCAAGGAAGAAAAGGAGGAAGAGACTGAAAGGATCCCAAACCAACCTTGGGGCGTGGCCCTGTGGCCCCTGCTGGCCCAGAGGCAAAGCCAGGCACAAAGGACTGATTCTCTTTGCAAATGAAATCTGGATAACAAGTACTTTTCCTTCTTTTCCTTTAAAAATCTTACCCTGCCACTTTTACTTTACACTTCCAAGTTGCTGTTGTCAAAATCAGTTTTCATTTCTTTCTCTGGAAACGCTATTCTCTGACTCTTTAGTCTTCCTAAAGAAATTTTTTTAAATTGTTTTTAATTGTTAATGCTCTTTCTAGGGACAATGAAGAAAGTGCAAAGTCTTCACATCCACTCACCAGAAACCCTCCAGACCGTTCAACCAGACTCCGGATCATGTCATGAAGAGCTGCTTGGAAACTGTGAAGATCTTGCCAAAGAGACTCATCTGTTGTGCTGTTTGTTAGAGGAAAGGAGAAGGTGCGGACCTATTAGAGCTATGGAAGCAAACAGGTATTCGGGGATATCTCTGTGTTTGTGTTAGACCATGTTTTCATCTTTTGAAGCCATTTTAATTCCTTCCTAGTCTAAGACACATTCGGCAGCAGTTCTTGGCTTTTTTGAGTCTGATCCCTTTGCTTTGGCCAGGTCCCCACCCCGCCCCCGCCTCCCAAAATGCACATAGGCTTATATACATGCAATTCTGCAAAGAATTTCAAGGACTTCAAAAATCCCCCGAGACTAGAGGAGTCCAGGTTAAAAAGATCTAAAGTAAGGAGAAGTTGCCAAGAATCCAGATGTTGGCAGAAACAATAAAAGCGACACGCACTCTATGCAAGATAGTAGCTACAAAACAAAAGCAATGTCCATATTTGGGTTTTGGAGCGTATTTGGGTTTGATCCTGAGTTGGTCTTTTCAGACACGCCCATATCCACTACGGATAGCAAGAGGAACAATATGTCATCAACATGCCACCATCTTTGAATACAGAGAATGACTGCATCTGGAAGCTAACATGCTGGACAAGGCACAAGACAATACTGACCATGAGGAGATTGTCTCATTGAAAGTATCTTGACAGTATCTACACCTGTAGCAAGTGCTAGAAAAAAAGTGAATAAATGATCTTGCCCATCAGTGCCCTTCACCTCAGTTTCTTACCACACCCTTGGCATCATTTCTTTCAGTAGCTACCCTATCCTCAAAATCATTCTTAGTCCTATTTCAACTTCAAAGACTTCTTCACATGCCATCTTCCTTAGATCAAATCTATTCCAAACCCTTAGCTATTCCCCAAACCATACACTCATAAGATCACTGTCATCAGAGTAACTTTAACCATTTACAGAGTGGGTCCTCTGTGTCAGCTATGCATGTAGCATTACAAATACGCTATGTGTGTGTCTTAAATCCACACAATAACTCTGCTAGGTAGACTGTAGTATTTTCATTTAAAGATGACAGACTTAAGGCTCAAAGAGAAGTGACTTGCTAAAGGTTGCAGAGCAAGGAACTGGCAGAACTGGGTTTATCCTTAATTCCATTTGACTGCAAACTTTATCTCAGTCTTGTTGGCTGGTGCCACCATCCCATTCTTCCAGAAATTTCTTAAAATTACAGGATTCTCAGTTTAGATGGGTTCTCAGCCTTCTTTGGCTCATAGAAAATTTGAGCAGAAAAAGATGTTAGAGGCAATCTTGTCTGACCTTCACACTTTACAAATAAGGAAACTGACAGTCACCTAGGATGGGTTACTGCTCCAACCACGACCTTCCCTTTTCTAGTTCTCAAGGAGGCAGGAACCACATCCTTTGGGAAGTAATTTCATGCTTCTCCTAGCATAGCTCTAAGTGCAACAAAAGTCTGTATGTGGACATCTGATGACTATTCCACAAGGAGCAGAAACTCAAGCCCAGAACACCTAAAAGAACAGAAAAAAGGAGGGCCAGGGTCAGATGGCATCTACCTCAAAGAGAATAGAACAATCCACGTGTGCCCCTTGCCACTCCCCCCAGAGGAAGCCAAGGATATTGCCTGGTCCTTGAAGCCAGTGTAGCAATGGAAACAAGACATATAAAACCACAGCAAAGGGGGCCCCCAAAACCAACACCTGCATCCCAAAGCCACTTCTACAAATAGCAGTGACCTGCAGCCCAGTTAAGGAGATAATTTCAAAGCCCTTCTCTTTAAGTCTGTAGTAGCTGGAATGAGCAGGGAGAAGACAAGTCAGTGCTTGAAAGCTTGCCTTTAAGTTTGTTATCAAGAATAACAAGTGATTGCCATATTTCAAATGTGTTTAAAAGTCCCGAATCACATAACTATCCTGCCTTGCATTGTCCTTGAAAAGGCAAAAATAGAAATGGAAGAAATTATCTAAGGGCAATAAAGCAGGGCAACAGAGATTAGGCAGGGGTGTGGGCTGCAATTCACTATTACCGATGCTTATAAACACTTACTGTATGACGGTAGTTGACAAGACCTGTTAAGAACAGAGTAATAAACATGGTTCCAATCTCTCTCCTGGAGAGAGAAATAAAAATAGGCCAAGAGAATAAAGAGTGTAACTGCTTAATAGGCATTTTTATTTTCTAAAGAAGGCAGTTTAGGTGACCCAAATGCTTTTAACATTCATTTTTGTCACTTCATTATATCGTTGGGTTACACCAAAAACACAAAATGCTTTATTTAATATATCACATGAAACAAGAGAGGACACACTGGGTGGGTCAATGACAAAGGCTTGCCTGAATTAGCTTTATTGATTCATTTAACATCTCCAAGCTTCCCTGGGCTATTTTGTAAATAAGTATGATTAAATACAAGGGGCTACATAAATACTCAATGTAAATATACACACACACATTCACACATATATATGTTGCATATATGGTGACCATTTGCTACATCCAGGTACTAAGCCCGCTGACCAGCTAAATTAATCAGTTTGCTGGGCTCTCAAAGTATAAATCCTGAGCCCTCGCAGGGCACAGGCACTGTTTGCTCAACCCGTAAACACATCATTATTGAACTTGCCTTCTAAAGTAACACCACACCCTGGATATGATGCAAAACCCAGCATTACAAGATAAGCTCTGTCTCAAGTTTCTGCTCGCTGTAGTGTCTGAAGTGTTTGCTCATACGCTCAGGGACCGAAGCAGAAGCAAACAGTCAGGCCAGTATTATAGGGACACCTGTGTTACAAAATTGACTTTATTGTGAAAGCAATGAATAAGTTCAGCAGGATCCTGTAAGAACGCAGATTCATCCCACATCACGTTGGTCCAACAGGACTTCAACCTTATCGCCGGCCTCCCTCAGCTACCCAGGGCAGTCCCCTTCCCTGGGGTATCAGATCCAAGCTCCAAGTCCCGGCTGCCACACCTCACCTCCTGCTTGTCTTCCGTCTGCGCCCTCACGCAGCTCAGTTAGCCAGGCCTCCAGTGAGGAGGCTCAGATGCTCCAATGCTCAGATGCTCCAATGAGGTCTCTGCACGGTGCTCTGAACCTGCCTGGACTCATGAGTCTCTTTACCTTTAAAACTCTACAAAAATCACTTCTTTTGTGAATCTTTCTCTAATTAGACAGAACACAGTGTCCTGCACGAGAGGCTCTGGCTCAACCTTGCACGGCACTTAGGTATGATTTTTGATACCCTTCCCTCCCCACCAAGATGTGATATAGCTGAGCGATTAAGAGCCAGAACCTGCGAGCCAGACTCCTGGGGTTGAATCCTGATCCGCCACACACTAACTGTGCCTCAATTTCCCTACCTGTAATTCATGGGTAGATATCTAGGTGGATAGGTAACCAAAGAGCTTAGAATAGTGCCTGGTATGCAGTAAGTGCTACCACCTAAATGCAAGCATAATAAATGTGATCGTAAATGGTAGCTCCTATCTGCCTTGGTGTTCAGGAGACAACGGGGGGTGACAGGGCTGCCTCTGGACTGGCCTGTCGAGGATGTGCCTGAAATGGCTGCAGCTGTATTGCCAGCTGTCCCTGTGGAGGGACCGGCCTGGTATGACCAGCTGTTCACAATTTCAAGAGAAAGCAAAATCCACATCTCTGGATTTTAAGTTATTTGTTTACATTGAAACAATTAATGTTTGAGCCAAAGAAAGCACATCTAAAGGCAGATTTAGCCCTTAAGCCACCATTCTGTGACCTCTGACATTTACAAATCTGTAACAGTGTGTGTGTGCATTTTCATTTTTCTGTGTTTATCCTCCATACTTTTTCCTCAATTAAATATCCTAGGGGTAGTAGAAAGCACGTGGAAGGTACTCAATTAAGATCAGCTGACCAATGAAGGCTTATTAATGAACAGACACCAGTGGAACTTTTCTGAAAGGAAACAATGAATCAATTAGTGTCCCCCACGTTCAGTGCCCTCTGTGGCTTCAGTTCTGGTAAACAGGACGAGCCCTAGGGACACAAATAGGAACAAGATGTAGTCCCTGATCTTAAGGAATATACAGACTTGTGGAGACACAGCTGTGTAAACAACTGCAATGTTTACAAAACACATGGACACTTCTCATCTCATTTACATCTCAAGAACCCAAGGTAGTTGGTAGAGCAAGTGATTGTACACCCACTGTATAGAAGAGAAACCGAGGTTAAGTGACTTGTCCAAGATCACTCCAGTAGTACCTGGAGTTGTAATAAGAGCCCAGTTCTGCTGACTCCAAACCCGGGGCTCTTTCTGCTGTACGCTTACATTCTAGCAATAACATGCCTATTTCCCAGTGCCTGTGACACTGGAAAAATCGGGCTCATGAAGAGGGTTGATATCCAGTGAGCTAGAGGGAGGCATTGATACCATCAGGGAAAGCAGGCTTTGAAAAGCACCTTCTTCTCATTAATTACAATTTACCATCTACCAAAAAAGAATTTGAGGCTACTTTCAACAAAGCATAATGCCATATATATATATTTTTTTAAGTTTAAAATAACAAAATACTGAAGGGAAACAGAGATGAAATCCCTGTTTCAGAAAATTGAGGGTAAGAATAGGTAGCACGAGTGGGCATAACTCTGAACTTCCTGAGAGAAAAGGCAAACTGGGAAGTGACAAGTTTCTTGTTTATAAAAGGAGGTGGACTAATTTTAATTTTAGCATATATTATCACCATTTGTTCTCTGATTTCTGAATCACACAGCAAAGATCAGTATTCTTATGGAAAACATTGATTTGAAAGTATAGCATTTTACCAAAAAAAAAGTGAATTTATTATACTTGTAAAGTCTGTGGGTTGATCAGAAGATTTGGAAATTTTGTAACAACATACTCACTAGCACATGATTGCCAACATTTATGGTTTGGCCTGTTCTCTAAAGGAAAATGGGAGAAATGGCATCCAGTTTAGAAGGACTGTGCAGCAGAGTATCAGAACTGTGATGGGGGATTGGGGGTGGGAAGGGTGAGCAAAAGGTTGCCCTCTTCATAAACAGCACACATTTCAAGTTCTTAACTGGGTGAAATACAGGCAAAATGGCGCCTCAAACACAAGACGATATTCACCGGCTATGAGGCTATTTCATCATTCATTCACTCATTCAGCAAATAGTTACTGAGGGCCCACAGAGTGGGCATTCAAGCCCTGTCCTTAGGGATGGAGACAGCAGTGAAGAGCACAGACAAAAATGCCTGCCTGCACCAAGCTTCCCCAAGGCAAAGCCTAGCATATTGCACAAATTAAAGATGGATGTGTACTTTGTCTATGAGAGAGCTGGGGTTCCCACAGTCACACTGGCATCCAAATCAGCCTCCCTAAAAAGGCGACAGCCCTATATTTCTGCAGACGGTGAAATAGATGCTTGGCTTTTGTCACGGAACTATCTAGAGCATAGGCGCATAAGAGCAGCTAAGAAGGGACATGCAAACACCGATCCTAACGTCCATAAAACAGGGCTGACGCATAGCACAGGGAGATCAGCTCGGTGCTTTGTGACCACCTGGAGGGGTGGGATAGGGAGGGTGGGAGGGAGGGAGACGCAAAAGGGAGGAGATATGGGAACATATGTATAACTGATTCACTTTGTTATAAAGCAGAAACTAACACACCATTGTAAAACAATTATACTCCAATAAAGATGTAAAAAAAATAATAATAAAATAAAATAAAATTTTTAAGCAGAAAAAAAAAAAAACAGGGCTGAAGCCTAGGTCTCACCTTTCGAAGCTCTCAATGGATGGAGGGTGGGTCAACCCTCCTGCTGCAGAAGTAACCGACAAGCACCTCCTTCAGTCTGCGGAAATGGTCCTCTCCTGTCCTAAAAATGGCTTTAAGAAGCAGCTGGAAGAAGGGTGAGGGGGAAGCTACAGCAGCCACAGACGCAGTGGTTAGACAAGGTAAAAAAAAAATAAGGTTTTTTTAAGATCTATGCATACATTTATTCAACTAATATTTATTAAATCCTCACTACATATGCAAAAAGCACTGTGCTAGGAACTAAGGAAACAGAGATGGGGGTGGAGACATGGCTCCTGCCCTCATGTCTCTTACCTTCTAGAAAGGGAGTCAGACATTGAACAATTAATTAATTAATTAATTAAAAGTAGGACAACTACTAGGAAGAACTGTCAGAGTCTATAAGAACTTTAAAAGGACAAATTAACCTAGTGCCGAAGATAACAGAAACCCTTTACACAATCTCACTCACTTTCTCTCTCTTTCTCTCTCTGCCTCTCCCCCATCCCCTCGCCTCCTCTCCCCTTCTCCCTCCTCTCTCAGACACACACATACATGCACACACACTCGTGTGCACACAAGGGCACACACAGGCATACATAGCTGTGATGGAATCAGGCACCTCCTGTCTTCCTCTTTCAGAGAGAGAACTTTTGAGCTGCAAATACTAAAGATACTATTCATTCTGGCTTTTAGGCTGCAACCCTGGCAAAAGCCATGGCCAAAATTCTTACTCCGAGCTAAGATGCAGCCAGGTCTAGAGAAAAAAAGGAATATTTCAACTGATTACATCTTCAAGTGTTTTCTAGATCTTTGAGTTTATGGTTGTGCGTGTCCTTCTTGATACTTAATTAGAATGTACAGGCCTCAGATGTGAACTTGCAGGAGAACACAGTGTTCAAAATGAAAATGACAGCTTTCCATTGGATTGTGTGCTGTTCTATAGCAGCTCAGTGTCAGGTGCTGAAGTTAAGCTAAACTACATAAAAACAGAAGATGTAAAAGCTAAAGTTAAAAAATTGTAACAGAGTTTCATATACTGAACTTTGATTAGCTATTAAATTATAATGTCAGATTTTTCAGTTATATAAGTACAAAATGTTTGTGGTAGATAAAAATTAGAAAATACAGTATATAGAAGAAGATAAAAATATAGCCATATTTAATAACCAAAGCACTTTCTGTAAAATGACTAGATCGAAATATTTAACCAATTCTTTATAACTGGACATTTATTTTTTTTCTAATCTTCATTAACACAAATGTTTTAATGAATACCTTTATACATGCATTTCTACATGCATCTCTCATTATTTTATTATGATAAACTTTTAGAAGTGGAATTTTTTTGCTGGACAGTATTCAGATGTTTAAGATCAGAATTACATCAATAGCCGAATCCAAAGTCTCTTTAAATTCTTTCTTTAAGGTGCTTAGAACACCTTCAAACTTCAGAAGCATCCAAAACTTGAAAGAAAACAGTCTTTATTTCCATATCAAACTCAATATTAATATTACATAGATATAATTTCAAGACTCTGACATTTCTTAAAACCTCACCAAATACTGACAGACAGCAATGTCATATGGTTATAGATACTTCTCAGAGAGCAAGCCTGTTTCTGATTATAACACAACAAATATGTTAACCGATTATTTCATTCCTTAATTTAAAATGCTGAACGGAAAACCAATCACAACAAACATAGCTATAAAATTTTTGAATGTACACAATTGCATTACACACAACAGCAGAAAGATACCAGACTGAAATGTTTATTTCTTGGTTTGGCTGTGAGCAGGGCTACAATCTCTCTGGGTCTTAGTTCTGAGGGGAAAGACACAAGGGCTGGAGTTTCCAGAATTTTTGATTTAATAGAACAATTAAAACTACAAGCATATAATTCATAACTAACCTTAAAATGAGAGGGAGAGATAATCTCAGAATAGGAAATATTATTTAAACTGAATGCATTTAACCTGAATTTTTTTTAATCTGCTCCATTGCTCATATTTTTCTCATTTTTCCTTGGAGTGTGGAAACTTGCACTAGTCTACAGACTCTTAATTGAAAACAACTCCTCTAGATAACTCCTAAGTCCTTCCCGTTTAGAAAGTGCTGTGGTTTTGTGATTCTAAATTTCAATTTAGGCTCCATGTAAAAAAGTAATTCACAAGAAATTTTAAAATTCAGTGTCTCATACTTCTCTGAGGATCCCGGAAAGGGGGTGTGGGCATTTTACCCTCCGATTTAGTGGGGGCCTCCTGTAGCCAGGCACCGGGAACACAGTGACACAAAGCACAGCTTCTGTCCTCAGGGTGTTCTCACCTAGAAGAAACAGATACTAAGGTGGCAGTAGGGCACAAAAAGTGTTATAATATGGGAGGTATGCCTCAAGACACGGAGCACTTAGCAGCACCCTAACCACTGGGCTGGAGGTGGCTAGGGGGCCAGATCTTCTGGAGAAGGTGATGCTGAAACTGAGTCTTGAAGGACAGGACGCGTGTTAGGCAGCTGAGGATGTCATTACAGGCAAACGATCAGCCTGTGAAAGTGAACGTGTATCAGAAACCATGGAGAATCCCAGGAACTCCACGCCCTGGTGAGTTCCAGTGAGGGCAGAGTCTACGTGTTGGCAGATGGCTGAGGACACTGGGGAGGCTGGCAAGGGGCCAAATCCAGGACAACCTGCAGTGCTAAGTTAAGGAGTTTGGACTCAATCCCCGACACAATGGGATGTCACAGAAATATCATAATCAGAGGAAGAGACTGAGCTACATCTATGGCTTGTCTCTTCTTCCATCTCAAAGTTTAAAGGAGAGCTGTACAGTTGAAAAGAAGCTCAAGGTGAGAAATTCCTATGGTACCTTTATTTTTTAAGAATTAAGATCATGTAATACAGGCTCGTTAAAATAAATTCAAACAGTAGAGAAGTACATAAAATAAAAGAGGAAAATTTCATTTCAAGCCTGACTTCTCCCCATCCCCTCAACAAAATCTTACTCCCCAGGGTTAATCACTATGAAGAGTTTCATGTAAATCCATGTATATATTTTCTAAATATATACAAAAGCATTTACATATAACACAGATCTTTTTGTGAGTTCTCTAATAGAGAATGCATTGTGCTACATATCTTGGTCTGCAACTTGACTTTTTCGCTTAATATATCGTCAGTCCAGATTGATCTCATTCTTTTGGACTGCATAGTATTCCACTATACGGTAAGGGTATGTTTCACATGTATTTATCCATTTCCCTGTTGGTGGTCATTTAGGCAGTTCCTAATTTTCTGTCATTGCTGCAGTGTACGTCCTTGACTATTGCACACCTATGTTTGTTTTCTTAAAGGATGTTTTCTTAGGATTGGAATTACTAGGTTAAAGGACCTAAGAAGTTGTTTCATTTTGTTTTCATCCAGAGTATACAAGAGTGTTCATTTCCCCCAACTATGGCCAAGCTTGGTATTATCAAGTTTTGAACCTTTACCCATCTGATAGATGAGAGATGTTATCTCATGGTTGGCTCAACCGATTGTTAGTAAGCTTGATCATCTTTCATATGTTTATTGGATAAATATATTTATTTTTGTCTATGAATTGACTTTTTACAAACTCTACAGGTCAGAGATTCTTAAATCTGGGGTTCCAGAGCCCCCGATATATGGTATGAAATTTTCTGTGTGTATTGGATGTGCCTTATTCTCAGGATAAGGTCCAAGAAATATTGAGAACCACTGATCTTAAACTCTGTAAGCTGAGAGGAACATGTAAAAAGAAAGAAGCAGGGATAGAAGGAAGGATGTGAAAGGGGTGAGGGCAGGGTTCCGTGATTGGTTATATGCATGTACACACACACACACACACACACACACATACACCTTTTCTTATCTTACCCTCATCAATATCAACTTTCCCAATAACACTCCCTCGTTTCCCTCCCCAGAAGGACCCCCAGCCACATAGGGGCTACTAGATCATTGTAGATGGGGCTCACTTCTTACTAATATTTGGACACATATCACAGAGAATCCTGACAAACCACTCAAGACGCTTCTTTATTTACATTTTGGTTCATCAAAACATCCAAAAACCTTACACATACAAGCCGTAATTTATTTATTTGAGACCATGGAAAAGCCACTGACTTCAATTTTATCTCATAAATATTTCTCTACTCTACGCGTGTCTCTTCATTTCCACTCCAACCATCACATCTTGCTTTGACCACTGCAGCACCCTCCCAACTTGCCTCCCCGCATCCTATCTGCCCTCCTCCCTTATCCCCTGTCTGCACTTTAACCTGAGCTATCTTTTCATTTCAACATCCGCCAGCTTACACCCCACTCAAGGCTCCCCTTTGCTCTTGAACTAAAAAGCCAGCCACTTGACATGTGCAGCTACATGGAGCTACCTGGTCTGCTCATCTACCTCTTCTCTTACACTAAGTCCCTCCTCCCTCCCTCTGGCTATAGCCATACCTGGAAGACTAGAGGCACTCTCTCTCCCACTCTGCAATCTTTGTTATTCTGTTTCTTCTGCTCCAATGCTTTCTCTCCCACTCTTTCCTTGAGTGAACTTCTACTCAGCTTAAAAATAACTTCCTGGATCATCCAGGCCAAGTCATGTGCTGCTGTCTCATGCTTTCATAGCACCCTCTACTTTTCTTCTAAGCACTTATCCCAAATTTGCAATTACATAGTTCATTAACATCTGCTTCCCTCTGGCAGGTGAGCGCCATAAAGATAGAAATAGGATCTGTTCTGTTCAGCTCTGAAATCCCAGTGCTCAGAGTAGGGTTGACACAGAGCAGGTGATCAATAAATACTGTTGAAGAGAGGGAGAAAAATGATGCTATTGTCAATGGTGCCTTGTAGGCTTTTATTTTCCTATACATTTTCCTTCAAATATGAGTGGATAATAATTATGTCCTCGATACAGAAATTGGCTATTTCAGGTCATTCCCATTACTTATCAGGGACCCATTGTGTGTGTACTAGGCACTTTTCCAGGAGCAGGGGGACACCACAGTGAACAAAATAGACCAATCTTCTCCTTTCTGAGCTTACATTCTAGGAAGAGGAAACAGAGAGTAAACATAATAGATAAGTAAATTATAAGGATACTTAGAAGGTGAAAAGTG